GAGGAAACCGGAGTACCCGGAGAAAACCCACGTGTTCGGGCAGATCACCCCATACCTTTTCACGTCCGATCGGGGAATCGGACCCCGGTCGCCTGGGTGAAGTCCTGTATTTCATAAAGTTATAGAAGGTATCTTATACAGCATATAAGACATCTTGATAATGTAAGATGTAAGTTTTATTTGTATCTATCTCTCGCTCAATGAAGTCATGAAAGTTTATGGAAGACATAAACGGGGTTTATCCGTGCGTATCAAGCTGGTTAAGAGGCATTGTTCAATCCATATCTTTGTCATCCTTGATACTCCAGAGGCTACGCTCACTTTCGTACTCTGAACCCCTTGAATATGTCATGGCAAAATTGTAGGCACGCAGTTAGCTATTTGAATGGTCACAGGTAAAAAAAACTGACCAATCGCTAGACTAGTGCCTGTCCTTTGAAGATCACAGAGGAGCGACACCAGACTTCAAAGCCGGCCAATTTTACCGTTACGCGACCGCGATATTATTTTGATGTACATCCAAGGATCAAACTAGTCTTCTTGTCTCATCCACAAGCTTGCACACACTGAGTCTTCGATTTTGCTATGACATATTCCAGGTGTGCAGAGAGCGTAAGGGAGTGTAACTACTGGAATATCAGGATGATATCTTGGTAGCCGTAAGTGCTACATGGATGTTACTGCATCAATAGTTTTGTTGCGGATGCTGAATATAACATATTTTCTACGTATCAGTGGCTTTGTTAATATGAAGTTTTCTTTTACATATATCAGATTAAGAAGTATTATATTGTCCATTATGAAATCCATTGCCACTATAGTATGCTCACAAGACAGGTACATAGTGTAGTTATATATTGTCAGGTGACATCAGGTGATCCATACATACAAGGCTCAAACACAACACTGATGCTGCAGTGAAGAAATAGTCGCATACAATAACATACAGCAGTGTACTAAGCATTTTGAAACGGTGTTGATTATGGTTAGGTGTAGTACCAATTCATTGATACCTACTTTAGGGACTCTATCCCACTAATACAGTAGGAAAAGTGTATACACATTTTTAAACAATGTAGTAAATTGAAATGAGGCAAATATTCAAATTGTTTATTTTTTCAAATAGAATAAATATGTTTTTTGTAGGCACTAGGTATAAATATTCTTTTTTAACTTCCTGGATACTCTCCTTATAAATCAAATTTAAACAACCACCATCTTTAATTTGAAATAAATTGAATTTTAAAACCATGTTGGACACACAAATCAGTATTTGATAGGCAATAGAATTTAGCAAACTGATAATGAATATGCATTCAAAGTCGGGACATCCTACAACATTAAAATGACACCAATTCACAAACTGGTAGTTTTTAATGCTATTGATATCTAAGTCATGTGTCAAAAATTTCGGAAGATCCTGTATTGGAAATGAGCTGAATGGTATTACCAGGATGTGTGACATATTTTCCTTGATGTCAATGTCATTAACAAAAATATATAAAGGTATCTGTGAATAATTGTATACAAATAGTCAATACACTGATTTATAAAGAACAGGATCCATGATGCACATTAATTTTTTATTTCAGAATGAAACAAGGTTACTGCAAGGAAGTAGATAATACCCACGTTGAATTTATATGAAATATTTGCGAGTAATTGATGTAAAAGAAGAAATAATGCAACACAAATACCATGGAATGCATGTAGTAGTGCATTAATGAGCCAAGGGGAATAACTATATTAATCATGGGGATATAATATTGTGATTGCACTCACTCCACTGATTCAGGGGCCATAACTCCGTAAATTACAGTCGGATAATGGTTGTTATCCAAATAGTCCAAGCTGTTGTGGTAATAAACCTTCCTATGAAGTTTTCCAGTTGCAAATTACTTGAGATATTAATTGGATACCATATTGGCAATTGAATAAAGGGACATAACTTGGTAAATTACAGACAGATAATGGTAGTTATCCAAAACATCTAAGCTCTCATGGTTATTAACTTTTCTATGAAGTTTGAAGTTAATCCACTGAAAATATCTTGAGATATCTAGCAGATGCATCCGCTGCGAGATGTTGCCTTAGAGGGGACTTGTCCTCTGATAAATGTGCCCTACTGAAGGGGACGTGTCCTTTGTGGGAATATGCATTCTATGGGAATGTGTCCCCTGAAAGGTTTTGTCTTTGAGGGAATATAATGTCCTCTAAAAGATGTGCCTTATGAGGGATTGTGTCCTAAGAGGATTTGACCTCATTGGAGATTCGTCAACTAAGGGAATGAGTGGTCCGAGTCATATGTAAGTGATGTGCCTTAGGGAAAGAGGCCTCACACTTGACTTGACCTTCCACCAGTCTCCAGAGATGGATGTCTGAAATAATTGTGTGAAGTTTCATGAAATTTGGTCTCAAGTTTTAGTCAAGAGAATGTGTGGAAAAGCTGACTTTTCCATGGTCATGTACAGATTATGTAGCTTTAAATTTGACCAATTAAAATGATCTGAAGAGATTGATGTCAGGAGAACTTGTGTGAATTTTCATGTAAATTAGTTAAACACTAGCCTGAAAAATCCACACAGAAGGACAGACTGAAGTATGACAGTATATGCTCTGACAAAGGATAACTAAAAAACAGTTTGTTTCATACATTTATTTATGCAGACAAAATTGAATTCATATAAATAAAATCTCACATATCACAAAAACATACTGACTCGGTATGACTCAATATCAAATATTGCACTTAAAGCACCAGTGTACACAAACACAAAATGACAATGTACAGCAAAATAATGCAGCCAACTTCAGAATTTGTTTCAGTGTTGACCTACTGTTCATAGCCATTTTCTTATACTTCCTTACAAAAATGAAGAAATTTTTGAACAGAAAGCATAAATACATAATTTGAAAAAGGAAGCCAGCTATTCCTGTTGGCACTGATTTTTAAGAAAGTTTACTTGATATTTCCATTTTTGTTTATCATTGAATAGGGACAATACACACAAGGCTATCAATGATTCTCAGAAATTTGAATCTAACATACTCCATTTTAAGATAAAAAGATGAAAGCATAAGCCAAAATGGTGATGTTTAAACTATGTTACTTTGTAACACATTTGATTTCATCATACACCTGAAACCTGTCCAAACACCGGTACTAGCCTCGTCTGTCAATACACCTATGATATAATCAGATGAGGACAGTTCCTGTGGTCTAAATAAGTATATCTGTACAAACATCAATAGTAGCAGAATTATCTCCCTTTGTTCAGAAATTTTGACACATGGACAGATTTCAAATCAGCAAGTATCATGATTTTAAGGAAAAGATTTAGGTTTCATGATTGCGATGGCAAGATACGTGATGCACTAAAATCAGTATCATCAACTTTGACACGAGATGTGCTATTATAAGTATTATCAATTAAGGATACATGCTACTTTTTTGTCAAATGTATCTTTTTTTGCCTGAAGGGTTCCACACTAAGAATCAGATCTTGTTATTTTAGTGATGACATATGAGGTACACAAGAATGTACACATTGACAAAATCACTTTACTTTTGAACGAAATGGTGGTGAAAGTGTTTCGAATGTAGTCTACTCTTACACAGCATCACATTTATAAAGTATAAGGTAGCCAATGTCTGTGTGTCTGTTTCAGTGGATTACATGGTAAAATTCTAGGTTTAAGTTAACAACACATTTCTAGAATAAGTATTGGAATGAAAGTAAGTGTGACATGCTACAAGCAATCGTTGAAAATATCCAGCAATTTATTGTGTATTGTGTGATATTATGAAATATTAAAAGCACATTTTAGCAAAATTAAGTGAACTTCAAACTTTTCGTCTCACAGTTCAGGAATATATCTAGAATTTCTACAGAACACGACATTGAGTTTATCTAGATCTTTCTCTTTATAAAAGCAAATCATAGGTGAGAAATTTCTTTATACATAACAAAAGGAGAACCTCCCATTGTCTCTCTGTAACTGTGTAGACCCTTGGCGAATCTGGTTTGGGAATGTTTGTATCTTTCCCCTGGTTATCTTTCATATCGCATCCTATAAAAGGGAGACACACCATCTTCGGAGACACCCAGGCATGGATTCATTTACATGGAAATGTAACTGGATTATGAATTAAGTTACAAAAGTGTGAATGAAATTCCCATTACAAATAATGCATATTTGTAATGGCAATTTCATTCACACTTTTGTATTAAACTTATCACATTTGATTCATTACAATTAATTACAGCTTTATTTCCATTACCCCACCTCTGGTCACACCAAAATAACTTGTCTTCTCTTGAAAACAAAGCTAGTGTTTACTCCTTTTTTTCTCATTGAAAGACAAATATTTCATCTTTGCCTCCCTTTTTTGTGAACCGATTTCATAGGACATTGGTTCATCTGAAATTCGACCATTTCATATTGTATCCATTCGACTGTTTTCCATATCCAAGTTCCAAGGACTTACCACTGTTTAAGTGTGGTAGCTTTGCAACACAACACTAATTGGCCGTTTAATCTAAATTTTCTTTTTCTGATGTGCAGTTTATTATAATCTTGATGTTCTTTTGCTAACATGATTAAACATGTTTTGCACAAGATGGCTGGTTTCAGGCAACTCCGTTCTGTCCCTTCTCGATTATCTCCCTTAGCCTCTGCATCCGTTTTTCGAGCTGGTTAGGGTCTCCCCCTGGATGGCTCCGGTGGTATAGCTGGATAAGTTGGCAGTACTCTGTATAGGTAAACTGGGCACCCTTTTCAGCTATGGCAGTTAGGATGTCCTACAAAAAATCATGTACGCCATGAAAAACTTGTACAAATGAAAGCGTTACTGGTCATAACCTATCAACACCTGATTCATCCGCAATATTTCAGATATTAATTTTATTCAGAGTTATCTGAGTTTTTTAAAATATGGTAACAAAGAATTAATACTGGAACTTTACTTTCTTTCTCTTTTGGTAATTATCTTCATGGGGATTTCATTTTTATTTCAAAATCTAAATTCAGCAATACTAAATTTCAAGCTCTTACTTTCTTCAGTTCCTGAAGTTTGTTTTGAGACTTACTCAACTCATCATTTGATGAAACTGACAAAACTAGATTCAATACTTCAATGGTTATAGGGTGGGGATTTCTGTGACTAAGTTCCCAGGAGTGGTGGGAGATCCCTAAGGCAAAATCCTGTTGGCATGAATGTGATCATGTTACTATGTTGAGCCAGTGACTTTTTTATATATATGGTTATATAATGACCTCCACTGTTTCAATATTATGACCTAGGGAATAAGACCCTAGGGGCAGAGCTGTGTGTGTAGGCCAAAATATAGCGTTGTACCAAAACTTGGCCCAAGAGAGGTTTACAATCTGTGCAGCCATTTAAGAGGAATAGAATTTTGAAACAAAATGCCATAAATTCCCATTTTTGGGACCAAATATGCTACACATCTGTGCAGTTCTTTAAGAGAAGTCTACTTTTGAAGATTAAATAGCCTGCTTTTACATTTGGGCCCCACCTCTCACCAGAAGAGGATAACAGCCTTCATTCACGCATTTGATTCTTTTGTACACCTGATGTAAGTGCTATATTTGGTTTAAATTTATCAAGCCCTTGAAGAGAAATAATCTTTTAGAAGGTTACAATCGACAAATTTCCACCACTTCCACCCCTGGTTCCAAAGTTGCAAATACTGTTTGTTGATTGCTTTATCTCACAACATACATCTTGGTTCAAGTAGAGAAGCTCGTAGTACTGGCGGGCCATGTCAAGGTCAGTCTCCCGGGACATGGATATGTTGGTCAGGTTTTGTTGAATAGCAAACAGATTCCGGCACCTGTCACACAGAAACAACATCTTACATGAGTATGTACAAATACAATTGTGTATGATGGTTGATTTATCAAAATTCTAATAGATCTTTGTTATATGGGTGAATCTTTGTAAAACATTAACTTGAACTACTTCATTTAAACTTCTATCCTTTTATTTCAACCTCTTAGGATTTAAGGTCAAATTGCTGACTTCAACTTCCAAAAACTGTATTAGAAATTTCAAATATATAGTTATAACTATGTTATCAATCAAACAATTCCTTAATTCTACTCAATACAGTTTTTGTCAATCTGAGCTACAGTATGTATTATACTCAATGCGTTGTTGCTGTAACTATGAGTTTTATGTAAGATACGCTGAACGATTTTCATGTGGTAATTTTCTGTTTGATTTGGAAATACCGGTACACAAAAACTGCTGCTATATAATAATTATAATCTTACAAACTTCCAGTACATTCTGGATAAATTTGATTTTCAAATATTACTTAGAATATGTATTTTTTGCAAATTTACCATAAAAAAATGAAAGAATAAATCTGGACTTTAGACTACTTGAATACAAGAGCTCTGATTATCAAGGTTCCACTCTACAGATCATTAGCTAGGTCCACTTACATCTTCTTAATGCCATTCTCATTAATCTTCGGTAAAAATTGTATACTGTTCATCAATATGGAGGCCACCAAGAAACCAAGGCCTTCAAAAATGTACCTGAACAGAAAATAAGTAGCTTTAAAACAAAAGAAAACAAAAATGTACCAATCACGTGAATGCAATGTTAACTCATTTACCTCTGAAGACACATTTGAACTCTTCCAAT